TTCTGCCTGGACAAGCAAGTTAAAGTTGTTGAGGCGTGACTGAATGAGGTTGAACGCTACATGAATTGCAGCAAAATCAAGATGTGATTCTCCACCAGATCTCTTTTCYGCGGCTGCGATTATTGCTCTGCTGACCAGCTGAGAAGCAAAATRTATGATATTCATAAGACTTGTGTGAATGGATTTGTTTTGAATGAAGGGGCTAGTGTACCGGAAGTGAACCTAAGGTTCTATTCCAAGCCGGAATCACATGTGAGTAGAGTTTGTTAGGTCTCTCCCATTATTCAACGGTTTTTCACCAGGTTCTCTGGTTTTCCTCTCTCAGCAAAACACGCTACGAGTTAGTCGTGCCTTGACTTCTATCAGCCTACCGTCTTCAATCTGTGAGTTAGCCGTGCCCTGACTTAGATCAGCCCCAAAGGTTGTTTCAGGGTACGATCTGTGAGTTAGACCTGCCCTAAATTAGATCARCCCAGAAGTTGTTCACCGTATTGAATTGWAAGTTTTCTACCAGCATCCTTAGCGTCCCTGTAGGATAGTCCGGCATTATTAAGATCACAGCCGGGTACGTCCTGAAYGAATTGAAGAAATAGAGAAGCACGACGCGTAGCGGAGTGCTTCTGRACACTTCTCGRGTGTTTTGCCAATCCCCAAGTGCTTTATGACTGCACAGCACAGCAAGCAAGTTTTTTATTTCTTTTATAAAATACGAATTACAGTAATATATAGGAATGACGCAACAGAAAGTGMRCGCGCGTGCAATGTGCTCTCATAAAGCACGCKCTCTAAACCAATCAGAACGCKAYATTCATAACWGTTATTYTATAAAATAATTTATAATTTRCTAACCTGGACTTCTTCGTCTTCGTTTTCTTTGTTAGGTTTATAGACCAAGTGAACGAAGTCGTGCAGATATCGCCTGGCAGCCTCATCGCCTTTACCTTCCTCATGTATGACAGAGAGGATGGACCTAAGCTCGGAGTTTTCCATTATTCTTCTAAGTTTATCCTCTTCTCTCTCTCTAGAGCGACCTGAAAACATCCCCAGTCAAAAGATTAGTATAATACACCTTTTTACCGATACGGCAGGCCTCTTGAATTCTATTGTTTTAATTGCTGGTTTGCAATCCCTAGAGAATGAAATAACAAAAAGACACGGTGGCCATGTTGGATGATATAACAAAAGAGACTAATCACGAATCTTTTGTTAAATTCATCCAACATGGCAGCTGTGAAAACCATCAATTAAGACATTTATGGATTGGAAAATTTATGTAGTGTTTAAAAAACTCGTAGATCGTGTTTTATCAGGTATAAAAGCACGAGGCGTAGACGAGTGCTTTTATACCTGATAAAACACGATCTACGAGTTTTTTGAACTGCTTAAAACACTCATGAACAATTTATAAGATTTTGGTTCAACTGGAGCCACCATACACGTCACGAACATGGATTTTTATACTTCGATAGAGATTTGACGTCATGGGCATGCGCAACCAGATTYAATAGAAGCTCCCACACGTTGGATATTGCGTGCCAAGGCAAAGACAGGCACGTTAGTCAAAAATCATTAGGGTTGACTATGACCTTGATGAAGCTCTATGTCTTCATCTAAACTTGGATGCATACTTCATCCCTGATGAAGTCATCCTCATAGTATTCGAGTGGTCTTTATATAAAGATCACGTGTCTTTATATAAAGACACGTGTGTCTTTATATAAAATCACTTGAATACTAATGAAGAGGACTTTATCGGGTATAAAGGTTCATGCACGTGACGTGTATGGTGGCTCCAATTGGACCATAAGCTTATGAATTATTAATGAGTGTTTTAAAGACGGTATAGCTGTCAGGGTGTCTTTTTATAGAACTTTACACTTTTCAAAAAGAAGCACATCTAAATAGCAACTGAATTTGCTGGTAGTTGAAATATGTGAAACYGACCAAGACTTTAAATTGTTTGAAAACGTAACTCCGCCTTTCCATGTTTTATAAATGTTCAACGTTTGCCCCCTCGGCATCCCATAATACCTTTCCCTAGCTCGCTTGACTGGCCACGAAACAATGGTTTCAAGTCGAGGTTGAACTTGATGAATAAAAGAATCAAGTTCAGTCTCGACTTCAAACCATTGTTTCGTGGTCAGTCAAACGAATTCGGGAAAGGAATATTAAGATGGCCGCCGTGTCAGTAAAAAGGTATAATTGAGGTTTTGCACCATCACGTGACGGCAGYCATGTTAGATGGCAGGAACAATATAATCGTTTTACTTGAGAAAAAATTCGATTCCTAAGAGCAAAGAGGGATTTTATTGTTCTGTTATCTAACCACAGGCAGCCCAAGCTGTATATAATGGGCGTGGACACGTGATGGTGCAAAACCTCTATACAAAATATAAAGATGACGATGGTGATGATGATGGTGATGGTGATGATGGTGACGGTGACGGTGACGGTGACGGTGACGGTGACGGTGACGGTGACGGTTATGATAGTGCAGTTTTCGCATGACTGTGAAAAGCTCAGTGCCGTAAGCGTGACGTGCCGTGACCGTGATACTTTCTAGAATTTCATTGGCTGATTTTTTTCACGCGCAATATGATTGGTCTAAAAGCGCCGTGATCTTGGCGTGACTGTGTCCGCGCCGTGTTTATGCCGTGTTCCGACTATTTTATTGGATGGAGAGTAAATGTAAATTCTCGTGCAATATGATTTGTCTGGCGTGTCCCTTGCTGTGTCATGACCGTGTTCGTGCCGTGAACTTTTCACAGTCATACGAAAACTGCACTAATGGAGTTTAGCAGTAGTTCCACACTGAATCCAAATGAAACTTAGAAGTTGCTTTTAATAAAAATGCAAGCACTTTGATTGTTAGAGAGAATACTATACAATCACTTACTGGAGCCAAGAGCCATCTTTCGCCAAAGTTCATCAATCATTTCCTTGATGAGCCATGAAAACGGAAAGCAACAACGAAAGACATGTTTTCCTTTTCCCGATGCTTGAACTTTCTCGCGGGTAGTGGAGCTGGATAGCTCGTAGTAGATCTCACTTAGACGTTTATTGTCAAAAATGAAAATCCACAATCTAGATAGAAAAATAGACGATTAGCATCTGTTTTTATTTTTAACAGACCATATCAATCGTGGTGAAATGTTTTTTTCATTTCAGACCACGTTTCATTCCATAGAGTATCATTTCTTTGGTCAACGTTTGCACATGCGGAGAAGACACATGAATATGGATACGACTCAAACAAARAATCTTATTCTCAAGAAAATCACAAGTGTTCTTTAATGGGAAAACATTTTTCCACAWYGTATAAGCTCCACTTACAAATCCTCACCTTAAAATCCATGGCTCCTGGTTACGTAGCAGGTCTAGGTTACAATCCCTGTCTGCATGGGCAAACACCTTAGCAAGTAAGGGTTCTACTTCTGTCAGTACCTTGTGCTGAAGTGCTCTCCTAAAAGTGCCTCTTTCATGTACACTAGTCCCTGAAAGGGCCTCATGCCGCACCCAATGACGAGCTAACCCTCCGGATTGTTTCTCATTCTTTTCCAAGAGAAGGTTRTAGATCTTCCTGTGTAGACTTTTGGCAAATGACAGTCCATCTGATATAAAACGATGAGTAATAAAAACTTATTAAACATATACACCTATTTCAGAAATCGTTGTCGCACCAAAAGCCTCAAGCAACAAGCCAAGAACCGCAGTGAATGCCTGTACTTTAAGCTGTAATTAGTTTATTCATGGTGCATTTTCATTTATTGACTTCACAAATTGCTCCAAGAAAGGCTGCTTGAGATGATAATTAGTGGACAGCTACAGCCACTTGCATGAACCATGAATAAATCAATTATAATTAAAAGTACCGACGTTCTCTGGAGCCTTGGCTTGTTACTTGAGACTCTTGGGGTGACAACGATCTTCGAGATAGGTGTATAAGTGAAAATACCAGAACAGTAGTTGCATATACTTGATTAGAAGGTGCTGTCGTTACTCTAAACATATCTGCAAACGGTTAGACCTTCACCGTTGCTCGGATGACCACATAAAATGGCTCCCGTCTCATTCAGAGACGTTAAAAATAAGGCCAAAGTGTCTTGTGTCACTCTCTCTAAATAGAGTTGATTTATTCATTTATTTGTTTAAGTGGTGTGGTAGTGGTGTGATAGTCAAAGTGCCTTGTGTCACTCTCTCTAAATAGAGTTGATTTATTCATTTATTTGTTTAATTTTCTTGCTTCTTCGTTTATATTCACACACCTGGCATTTTTGATGAGTCCTCAGGAAGAAGGCTTAAAATCAGGTCAATTCTTTCAGTTGTTCTTTCAGCCATGACTGTTTCATCCTTTAATCTTCCTGCWGCKGCTTGCACACTCCTACGTAACAACACCATGGGATCAAACCTRCCAAGATTCGCACCCATTCTTYCTGGTTCCAAGGACCTCGCTATGTCTTCTTCTTCATCGATTTCCATCATTTCATCTTCATTCCTATCCGTTTGAACATCATCTTCGTCTTCTTCAACTAGCATTGCTTCTTCGTTCTGTGTTTGATCCTTTCTCTGTTGTAACTCCTCCTCGTCCACAGATGTCTCTCGAGATATTGAGTCAGCAGGCTTGAGAAGTTCGCTGATTGGACGATCAATGAGCATCTGTATTGGTGGGATTTGATTGGTTGGTGGACGTAAGTCATCTACATGGAAGGAATCCCACTGACCTCCCTGGAATCCAACGAAGTTTACGCATCCACCTTTAACTCGAGGGAGCTGTATGATGATTACTATATGTAAAGAAGGGACATCCTCGATCTAAAAAACAAACAAACACAAATAGAAATTAAAAGTCAAAAATGATGTTTGGTTGAAAATGTGTGGATAAACAGTATTTCGTGCACGGTGACTGGTTAAAGGATATTGTACCATGGCCCCRCCATGTGCCGAGCCCGATTCACAGTTATATTCTACATTTTTGAAAAACAATGGAAGAAATACAATATACAGTACCAAGAGAAAATGAACTAAGAGAAGGAATCCCCGCACCCTATCATGAGCACTCTTTGATGCTATTTTTAAAATCTTTGATGCTATTTATAGAATCTACATTTGCTCGTTTGTAATTCTGCACGCGCAGGAAAAAAACGATAGCAAATGTAAAAATAGTATCAAACGGTGCCTATGTGGGTTGCAAGCATGAATACCAGAGATTTCTTCTCTTAGTTCGGTTAATTTTCTCTTGACAGGACTAAATCAAAAATCGATCAAAACATTGCTATGAAGCGTTGTATACCCTAGAGATTTTCACAATGATAAGCAGCATACAAATAACTTTTTTTTTCAAACAYCACTCTCCGCTAGAGCTCTTCCATGAGGTTTGCTCCACAGGCACTACCTCAATACATTCACAATAATATCAGCATGGTATCTGATGAAGTGAATACCTTCAGCTTCTCCTTCAACATTTCCGCTCTTTTCATACGTTGATCCATCAGTAAGTGTCGAGTACAAGCTATCAAATTGAAATTGCCGTCGCCTGAATCACACTGCACAAGAAGAATCCCTTCGTAGTTACTCAGGCGGATGAAAAACTTCCTATAATATTCAAGAAAAAATATTCGTTATTTAATCACGGAATAAACAAAACGAAACAGGTTGGTGAAGATTTTGTTGCGAGTTGTATGTTTCATGTAGATAATACATTTTGCATACTGGTGTTGCATGTTGGTGTTGATGTTGCATGTTGATGTTGCATGTTAGTGTTGCATGTTGATGTTGCATGTTGATGTTGCATGTTGGTGTTGCATGTTGATGTTGCATGTTGATGTTGCATGTTGATGTTGCATGTTG